TAGTGAAAATGTTTCTGGTTTAAGCACTTGCACAGAAAGGTATAAAGCTGACACTTACATATTCTGAACGTTTTATTTTAAAGAGTTTGGTGGTTTTTTCCCCCCTCAACACCAGTCTGAAAAACATAACTCATCTTTTAGCACTAGCTGCTGGTGAGGACTTACTTACATACCAACAACTTAACTTCTAACAACTTGATCAAAGTGAGTTTTACTTTTTCCATTTGCAGAATAGAACTTAATTATTTCTGCAGTGCTTTCCAAGATCTGAAGTGGCCTTTCCTGTTACTCCTTTCTTCGCTCAAAAGTTCTAGCCTTGGGAGCTAGGAATTAACCAGGCCTAGGGTGCACTGACCAATTAACGGTACTGAAGTCACTTATTCCTCAACCCCTTTAAAGAGTTGCTACAAAGAAATAAATCAAAGGTTTAATTTGATCGATTTATTCTGTGGATCACTGGAATTTCAAAACCTGGCAGCCTATCTTTTCCACCCACAGAGCATGACAGTTCAGCATTAGGAGAGTACTTCACTGAGCAGTTTCACCACCTATCTACTAGTATAAAAAGTTCTTCCCAAACTTACACTTCAGAAGAGAAGCACGGGCTGTGTTTTCAACTATAGAAGAACAGCTATAATCAAGGCATCATCCATTTCCTGCCTGTGCTCCCAGTTCATTTATATAAAATTTGAGACTTCCTGAGTTTTATTTTTATAAAATGCTGCTGCTCTCTTTATAAAGTATTCTGCCTCGAATGTGAATAGACCCCAGTGAAACATCTCAGAGAAATCCTGCCCCTTTCTTTGTCAGGAAACAGGCAGTAGATAAGGAATGTCCAAGAGCTGGAGGGCCAGATGCATCTTACCGGGAGAAGAAAATTCGTACTCCTTCCCAGACATCACTGCTCCTCCCCCAAGAGAAAGCCCAAGAGGGCGGTAGCCACATGAGCAGGCTGATGAGCAGGCAGAGTGTGACTTGGCAGCCTGAGCTGCTGTAAATCCCACCACAACGTTCCGAGCTCCAGAAAGGAGCCAGAAAAAAACGGAAATGACATCCGACAACTTCCCCTGCTAGAAGGGCTGAAACATCTCACGGGTTACTGGTGGGGGGGAAAGGTTAAACTCTCAGGGAGCTCGCCTGTATCAGGCTTAACTCCCTCGAAGCTGTGCTCACAG